GGAAAATCTTTGATCGTTTAATTATGGATTATATTTTACAAACCAATTGTTATTTGATCGTTAAGAACGAGTTTTGCACACTCCATAATGTGAACAGTCTTTCAAAATAAAAAGCTACTTAGTTTTTTGAATAGTGAACTCAAAAAAGTTTAAAAAATCAATCCTTCTCAAGTCGTTAAGAACTATTGTTAAGAACAATAGTTAACAATAGTTAACAATTGTAGTGATTATTGTTGGTTTAGATATAATCTTTATTACAGCGATAATAGTTGGTTCAGTGGTTTGGGATTGGGAGAGTAGAGACACTTCACGGCACACCTCGGCAGCTCGTTCACATTGCTTTTATACGGAACTCGGGCGTTCGTCTCGTCTTCCACACAATGGAGTTGAACGGATAGCGACGCATATTAAATCTCGCACAATAGGCGTTCGTCCCCATAGGTGTCTAGCTGGCCATTTCCATACGTGGCAATCTCGATCACGAGATCGTCACAACAACAATAGTTAACTATATCTCAAGCCAATAGATTAACTTTCTGCTTTTGAACTTTTAAATATCTAATTTGAATTCTACTTTCTTGACCTAGTTTAGTCTAAAAAAGTTTGTAATCCCTTTCAAGAGTGAAATTCTTAAAGATCTTGACTTTAAATATCAAAGTCATAAAAAGACTAAATCTAATAAGCCTAAAGTTCTTGATTTAACTTTTCTTGAGCTAAAGAGTTAGCAGCAGCTCTATTTTGGGGTTTATTGAAAGCGTCAAAGTATAGAATTCCTTTTGCAAGCTTGCTGAAAGAAGCCAAGATAATTTGTTCTAAAGATGTAAAAAAGTTATAAACTAGGTATGAAGTTTGTAATCCCTTTTCTTATCGAACAAGTCCCTTGCTTTGTCATTTTTCTGCACCTCTCTTTCTTTGCCTGTCCATTCATACAACCACTCCCTTTTCCCCTTTTCCCGATCTAAAAACAGCAGCTAGCCGCAAGAAAAACCCTGGTCCCAGCCTTGTTACCGCCATTTATTATTTGAGAAAGTTAATCACAAAGAAAGAAAACATTAAAAAAGAAGTTCTTGAGGTTCGAGGTGAGAAAAAGTTTCTCAACCAAGTGGGTTAAGGTTTTTATTCAGTTTTGTTTTCTCAAATGTTTTGAAAATGAAAAATCTTCTATGGCTTACTGGCCTCAAAATAAAATCTTTATTATATTTATAAAGAATCAATTCCAACTATCATCGACTGTTTGTTTGGCTGGTACTTGAGGGGCATCGACTGAAAAATAGCTAAGAATTGTAAAATGTCGTTGAGATTTAGGGGTAGGCTAGTTTCCGCAACTTTTTTTGCGCAACAACTGGGTCGTTTGTGCAACTCGCCATAACTTCTTCTAGTGAACCAATCTTTATGCTTTTGGTTTCATTTTGTTGCACTTATTGAGATCTACAAAATGAAACCAACATCATAAAGATTGGTTCACTTAGAAAAAAGTTATGGCTTGCGCGAATGACCCTGTTGCGCAAAAAAAAATTGCGGAAACTAGCCTACCCCGAGACTTAAAGATATTCAGCTTTTCAGCTATATAGTCAGTTTTTGATTTTGATAAAAATACTCAGAGAAAGATATTCAGAGATCTAAAGATATTCAGCTATTCATAGATTCTATAAGGCTAATATCTCTAGATTACTTATGTTAAAGAATCACCCGATTTCGGCAGTTCAAATGTATCCGTTGCTTGGGTTGACTCTCGACTTCTCTCTTCACTTGAATTCAATCTTTCAACCATAAAGAAAGCAAGAGTTGCAATGAGAGCCGTTAACACCAAAATTGCTAAATGCCATTGAAGTTGCAGTTTTGAACCGTAGAAGAAAGCGGCACAAGAGAGACCTGACTGAAAAATGAAATCAAATGAAATCAAATGATTAAATGACTGAAAAATGATTTGATTTCAAAGTCAAATTCGGTCAATGTTTGCACAAAATGACATTTGTTATTTCCAGCTATACTTGAGCAAACGAAGGCTTTAATCCAGTTTGTTCGGCCAAGATTGACCTATTCGCCCTTTTAAACGAAAAATTGGACTCAAAAGTCGAGCTCGAACTTCGTCTTAAAGAAATCTGTGCAAATTTAAAGATTTAACAAATGGATAAATGTTAATTGGTTTCTTCTGAACTTCTGAAAAAAGATTGTCATCTTTTTCCTCGTTACCTGATAAAATTTGAAAAGCGCAAATGCTTGACTCGATTTCTGAGAATACACATCAACAAGCAGTGAATAGATCTGCGTATTCCAACACGCGTCCCCAAAAGCCAACAAGAAACCACAAACGAGAGCAATCCAAAGTCTGAAAGATTATTTACTGCAAACGAATCGATTCTGGTATCTCAAATCCTTTCTTCGAATCCGCCACTGTTAAGCCTAGCTTACTGCACTTTGCCTAGCTTGCCTAGCTTACTGCACTTTGCCTAGCTTGTCTAGCTTACTGCACTTTGCCTAGCTTGCCTAGCTTACTGCACGAATGTCTAGCTTACTGCACTTTGACTTATAATAAATCATAAATCATTTCACTGTAACCAACTGTGGATCGATGAGTCCACCGGTGTCATTTGTCTGCCGAATTGGAGCATCAGCAGGAATATTGATGTACACTCCGGCAAAGCAAATCAATTGAACAATGGTACCGCAAAGAACAATCGAATCTCTCCCCAATTTCTTCGTTTTAGTGGCCAAGATTCCAAAGGCACCTCCAGCTAAATTGACAGATTTCACTTTAATCTCCAAATAGAACTTTAAAACAAATCGATTTGAATAGGAGTCTGGCTTCTTATTATGTATATGAGATACAAGTTGGATCCAATTTGTATCTCAAATACATAAAAAGAAGCCAAATCTATTCATTTTATATATTACTACATTTATCTGTTGATAATTTTAGTGAGAATTCGGTCTTAATTCGGTCTTAATTCGGTCTTAATTCGGTCTTAATTCGGCCTTAATTCGGTCTTAATTCGGTCTTCTTTAAATTTACCCATTATATGCCCCAATCCCTCGCACATCGCTGTCAAAGCCAGCATCGAGTTCGTATTGTCGCCTAGCTAAACCAATCGATTTCTCGTTTCATTTGAAAACTTACTTTTAATGTATATGAGATACAAGTCGGATAGACTCCTGTCCAAAAGGATTGCTCGATTCCCGTGTAACTGAACGCGAACGCCAACAAGAGCATTTTCTTCGTAAACATTAGACGAAAAGTTGACCCTAAACAGGTTGATCTAGATTGGAATTGGAAGAAAAATCGATTGATTTTATCGATAGTTTTTATCGTTAGATTTTCAACTGACCTAACAACACTGGATAACTCAACTTCGGCTTATTCTCCTCATCCGCACGAACCGGTGGCGTTCTCAACAACGCCAAGCAAATCAATCCGACTATGTTCAAAATAGTAAACACAATATAAAGCAAATGAACGGTTGAATCAGGAATATCGTCGGTGGTTTTTACTCTGATGGAAAACAATGAACAAGAATATTCCACCAGCCACAATACTAAACAAGGAAAAGCTAGATAGCTAGATAAGAATTGCTTACCATGACTCCATAATCGACCACAACATAGCACTGTTTCGACTCGTTGTCGTTTCATCACAATTCTTTGAGAGATATGTCCCCTGACCGGTCCAGAGAACTAGAAATTACTTGCTAATAGACAAGATTAACAGAATTAGATTTAGATTTAGACTTAGACTAAGGAACTCCCGATCTCCCGACTAATATACATGACTCTTAGTCAGTCAGCTATGACGACCACTTGGCTGCAGAACTGGATTGGCCTATTTAACTTGACTAAGTCTTTGGCCTGTCTAAATCTTACAGCCTAAATAAAACAATAGAATAGATAGAAGAGAACTTTGAAAACCAACTAGCTGCTCCGAATCCAAGTGCGGCACTGGAAATGAAGAGATACGTTTGATTGACATGTAGAAATCCGGCCTAAATGCACCAATTACAGTAAGAAAATATTTTATTCTTACCTGAAACGCGCAATACATTGATCCTCCCAACACCATTGCCCATTTCGCCGATAGAATGTTCACAATAGGCGCGGCCACAAAATTCGCCACCGTAAAAACAGCGTAAATAATTGATAAACTGAAAATTGTTGTAGTTTAAGAAATTTATTCAATAAAACCTATAATATCCAGCATGTTCATTGACATTTCCCCGCTTTGCAACACTGCTGATCACCGGTTGCTCAATGAAACCTAAAGATTCCTTCTAGGACTTGAAAGTGAAGCGCTGTGGAAGATCAAGCTTTGTTACGGTAAATTATTCAGTTTATAAGAGAAGCACAATTCTGGGCTTAAAAAGGACTTAAGATTCATCATTTACTGGGCTTCAACGTTTACTGGGCTTCATCGTTTACTGGGCTTCAACGTTTACTGGGCTTCAACGTTTACTGTATTTCAACGTTTACTGGGCTTCATCGTTTACTGTATGGTAAGTTTTGCTGTCTGTAGACTCAAAAAAACGCATCAAAAAGCTTTTCTCGAGGTAAACTCATCAATCAAATCATTTTACTCATCAATTAAATCATTCCATTTACTTACAACTCTCTTACTCACCTTGTGAATTAAAAGCAAAGAAAATAAAGAAAAATCCGACTCCCAGCTGGATAACGTTCAACGTTTCAGGGCGAATCGCCGGCATTTTGAGAAGAGAAATTGACGTCGAAAATTCGTGAATCTTTTGCTTTTCCCTTGTTTTCCTAAACAAACAACATAAAAATTGTTCCTTTTTTGCGTGTTTTGACAAAAAAACAGTTATAGAAAAACAAGAAAGCGAAAAAGAAAACGGAAAGTGACAACGATTGAGTGAGATCAATATCTGAAAGCAGACTGAGTATCAAAATCAAGAATAAATTGGACTAACGCAAGTTTTTCGTTTATTACTTTTGAAACTGACTTTATTAAAAGCAAAAAACTGATTATGTAGCTGTGTGAAATGGAAAAATTGAGACCAAAATAAGCTTTCAAAGCTTGAATTAGTTTTCTAGCTTGAATTTCAAAGCTTGCCAGATTCCAGAAGCTTTCCAGATATTACATAGATTACAGATTAGATTAAAAATACAATTTGAAAAAGTAAATTAAATGAAATTCAATGGCCAAAACTCTTTTTCGATAGTTTGATATATAATTTCTCAGGAAAATTTATGTATTATCGGAGAGAACGGAAAGGAGTAGCCACGACTGTGTGCTCTCGCTTCATTTCACTCAATTTTGATAAGGAAAACACTCACCGATCTGCCGAAAACGTGTGCAAAGCAGCTTTGTAAAGCTTTTTTATTAGTAAATTAATTTGTAATCTTTTGGAAATTTTGATATGAAATAAAATAAAATAAAATGAAATAAAATAAAATAAAATAAAATGAAATAAAATAAAATAAAATAAAATAGAATTTGAATAGAATTCGAAACTTAACAATGATCTTTACAATGGTGAATCAGCTTTTCAAATCCAAAAAATGAATGTTCAATTCAATTTAAGCTTTTCAATTTCAAAGTTCAATCAAAAGCTCTTTAAATATTTCCAAAAAAAACATATTCGTTTCCAAAAATGTATCAATAACAAAAAAATGATTTGTTGTTGAGAAGAAAACTGGCTTTGTTCCCTTCCCCTTGTTTATAATCGATATTTCAAGGTCTCTTTTTGATGAAAATGAAAAATATCAATCAAATAGGTCAATAGGTTTGATTTTGGAAGTATTGAAAGCTTTTAGTGTGCTTTCAATCAACCCATTCAATCGTGCTGCAATATTGCTGCAATAAAGCTGCAATATCATTGAAAAGCAAAAGTAAAGAATTGATGTGGGATGTTAGTGTGCTTCCAATCAATCTCCAATCAACGTCCAATCAATGTAAACAATCCCATCAACAAAACGAAACAATGAAGTCGATTCAGAAAAGAGAAAAATCAACCGGAGAAACTCTCAGCACAAAGACAAACAAAACAAGGGGAAATTCTTGGAAACACTCACCTTTGATGGAATTCAAAGTCATTATGTCATTTAAAGTCATTTAAAGATGAGGGAAAGATTCGAAGATTGATTTCTGAAAATAAACGTCCATAGTATTCTTTTCATATAACAAATTCCTTAATTCATCTTGGGAATTGTTTAAAACTGACTAAAAGTTAACACTTTTTAGAAATCTAGTCTAGTTGCGACACTATAGTGAAATTTTATCGTTTTCTTTGAGCCTGATTCATTAGACTTAGAGATAAGTAAAATCTAGAAGAACAAAAGAGGAAGCTTCTAGAAGAACTACCTTGTTTTGAACAACATCAAGTTTTTCTATATCAAAAAGAGCGTTATAGAAACTCAAATCTAATGCTAAGACCAATTTTCTCCCCTAAAAACCTATCAAATTTTCCATAGCTCAACTTTTCAAAGGACTGTCCAGTTGTATCCTTTTTTTCACATTTTAAAAAAGACAGTATTTTTATGACTTTAGGTAAGTTCTTTAGGTAAGTTTTTAGGTAAGTTCTTTAGGTAAGTTCTTTAGATAAGTTCTAGCAAGTTATACTTCTGAATTAATCTTCAAGTTTAGCATCACAAAGACAAACAAAACCTGAGAAATTTTTGGAAGCACTTACCTTTGATGGAATCCAAAGTCATTATGAAATGGGGTAAGATAAGATTCAAAGATTGATTTCTGAAAATAAACTTCCATAGTATTCTTTTCATATAACAAATTCCTCAATTCATCTCGAGAATTGTAAGAAAACTGACTGAAAGTTCACACTTTTCAGAACTCACATTTTAAAGAAGAAATTTTAACTGAGTTCTTATCTAATTACTCAATTTGTTTCTTATTATCTCACTAATTTTTCTTTTTTCTATTTATTTCTCATGAGTAAACTTTTGCGCATAATTCAGTGATCTCAGCTGGAGGAAGTAAATGATCCAAGGTAAACACGAGGAAGCCAATGTTCACACAAAATGACATTTGTTATTTTCAGCTAAACTTGCGCAAACTGAGGCTTTAGTCTTTATTCATCTTCATCAAACCAAAATTTGTTCCTGTGATGACTCTAATGACATCAAACCAAGACTTTAATGGTGACGCCGACGAAAATGAACAGGGATCAGGTAAGGAATCAGCTTCACCATGTGTATGATATATCAAATTCCTCAATTCATCTCGAGAATTGTTGGAAAACTGACTGAAAGTTGACACTTTTTAGAACTCACATTTTAAAGAAGAAATCTTTGACTGAATTCTTATCTAATTACTCAATTTGTTTCTTATTACCTCACTAATTTTTCTATTTATTTCCCAGCAAATAGTTCTCTCTATTTACTCATAAGTAAATTTTTACGCATAATTCAGTGATCTCAGCTTGGGGAAATGAATGATCCAAGGTAAACACGAGAAAGTCAATGTTTACACAAATTGACATTTGTTATTTCCAGCTATAAAAAAACTGAGGCTTTAGTCCAGTTTGTTCGGCCATGATTGACCTTTTAAAGATTGACCTTTTAAAAGAAAAATCGGACTCAAAGACGAGCTTGAGCTTTGTTAACACTTTGAACATCTTTGATCAAAACAAAATGTGTTCCATAGAAGCTTTAAGCCTCAATGATTAACGGTTGAACTTGGGAACTCTGAAAAGAAAGCTTGTGCAAATGTTCCCTTATTCCCGCATAAGTAAACTTTTACGCATAATTCAGTGATCTCAGCTGGGGGAAATGAATGATCCAAGGTAAACACGAGGAAGTCAATGTTTACACAAATTGACATTTGTTATTTCCAGCTATACTTGAGCAAATTGAGGCTTTGTTCGGCCAAGACCTATTCTCCCTTTTAAACGAGAAATTGGACTCAAAAGTCGAGCTCGAACTTTGCTAACATCTGCATCAAACCAAAATTTATTCCTATGATGACTTTAATGACATTAAATGAGAAATTTTCGTTTTCTCCTTTTAGCAAAAAATTTTTTCTTTCTTGCTTTTAAAACTTGATTATTTTTTCTTGAAAACACTATAAAATCAATGTCTTCCAATCAATGTCTTCCAATCAATATCTTCCAATCAACCCATTCCGTCGTGTATGTGTTAAGCAGCAAAAAGTCTTTCAAATCTTTCTAAAGCGAAACGGAAACTTTTCTGAAATGCTTAGCTACTTGTTCCTATTTTAGAATCAGGCTCAAGTCAAAGCCAATCACAAAACTTCATAAATGCCTCAATTAGTCCGAAATTTGGCTATGTTGTACAGTCGACTCTCGATATAACGACTCGTTCGCTACAACGACTCATACTTACGGTCTTATTTACTTCTGTATAACGATGTTTGATATAAAGACTCCATTCGCAGTCTCGACAGAGTCGTTATCTCGAGAGTCAACTGTATATAAGAAAAATATCTGCTAAAAATCTCAGTCAAATCGATGGTTTTTTTTTGCTGATACACTACTGGACAATGAAATATCATATTCGAAAAAAGATCGTCACTTTCGCGCGTCTGTAACTCCATTGTCCTTACCGTATTTCTAAATATTAATATTACCATTGTGTAGCCCTTGAAAAGAGCTTTCAGAAAATGTATAACACTAATAGTTTAAACTCAAAGACAAGGGAGTTACAGGCGCGCGAAAGTGACGATCGTTTTTTAAATATGATATTTCATTGTCCAGTACTGTAGATGCGCGCTTAAAAAAAACTTCTTAATTTTGACATTAAGAAGCTTCTCAATTCCCTTAACAATTTTGAAACATTCAACCAAATCTATGACAAGGCGGCGGTGGTGTAATGATTTGAGAGAAAAAGTTATAGTTTATTTGTTTAAATCTTTGTTTATAGAGGATGGAGCAATCTTTTTAAAGTCGATTTTAAACAGCAATTCGAGTCAATGTTTTTGAACCTTTTCAAGCTTGGATATGAGGATTTTGTGGGAGACCGGACTAACGAAACATATTCAAGAATGGGGCGAACATAAGTAATAAAACATTTTCTATAGGTGTTAATGTTTGGAATAGTAATCGACCTGAGGATTCTGTTATGACAAAATGAGTCTTTTTTACATGTCAATTCGATGTGTTTGCTAAATTTTAAAGGAGTACAATAATGACGCCTAGAGTTGTCCAGGTCAATAGATTTAATAGGTAAAGGATTGATTTTAAATTGATACAGAATTTTCCCATTAGAAAAATGGGAAGATTTAGACTGGGAAAGGACTAACTTCCATTTTACTATAGCTTCAATATCCTTTTGAATTAAGTAGAAAGAGTGTGGAGGATTGGGAGCATTGTTTTTGATAGGAATGGTGAAAGTCATCTTTGACATCATCGGCGTAAAGCCAAATTGCCGAGTTTGGGTTTACAAAATCGATGTTAGATGAGACGAGATCTCCTTCCAAGATCCTCGCTTAAAAGTACGTTCAAAAAATTGCATTATGATATCTTTCTCAGGGGTACTGTACGTATTGCGGTTATCATAATAGAGCATGGCAAACCCTGCTCTGAAAATTGAAAGGTTTTTGATGTTTTTAGGTTCCCTTTTTTATTAAAAAATAAAAAATATTTTATGATGCGGTTCATTTATATACAGAAAAAGTGCAAAATGTGTCAAGAATAGTCTCGGCTCGTTTATTGTGATTTAGAAAGGCCCAGTGAGTCCACCAAGGCAATCGATTCCGGGAAGACAGCTAAAC